TTCAAAGTCCAGCATACCAGTACTTTTTCTATCTGGTAACTTCCCTGACTGCCAGAATCAACTTCCTCTACTCTTAAAACCACTTAAAAAATAAAAGTCTTATGCTTTTAAAATTAAGTGTAACAATCTGCTATGTTCAGAGGAGGTGCGGTCAGTCAAGAATCTTAGGAGTATGTTCAAACCTGTAGCCACTGCTGGGGGGGCTTCACACACAGAGAAGCAACACACAGCTAGCGCTGCTCTCTCAGCAAACTGCCAGCTTTTGTCAGCCAGCAGATGTTCCATTGTTTGGCTCAGTGGTGTAGGGTTGCCTCAGTTAAAGTTGGGACACTTGCTGCATCTTTTGAATTTAGCCCCATTGAGTGCCATCAACCCCTCCCAACCCCCCCTTCACCCAAAAGCTACTCAGAGAGGGGCTTTACCCCTCCCCTCTGTCCCCTTTAACCCCCCAACAGACCTCATAGTTGTTGTCCCGCAACTCCCACCACCACCACTACAACTTTTACCCTCCCCTCTCCCCAGGTCCTTGGGTCAGACCCCTACCCCCGACACACAAAGGCCAATTTATTGACCAGTTACTGCAAAGCGAGGCTGATGCAGGGCGTTTTTGCATCAGTATACCTTTAAAGTGCTCGAATGCAAATGCACACACATCCAAGGACACATATAAGTACTCTAGGTCTGCATTATCAGATGGCAAAGGTGCAGAAGCGTCTGTTCGTTTTGCATAGTTACAATTCCTTCTTTTCAACTGCAAGGCATGACAGTCAGTGACTGCTGTTGTCAGAGAGGTCTATAGTGTCCACCTCTGAGGAGATTATGCAATAATGAATGCCCTGTTTTTCCCTTTCACGCTATAAGCCTGCGTGTGTGTTCTTGTGAAAGACAGAGAAACCTAGGAAACACATGAGCAGCGCAGACTTCCTGTTTTTGTGAAGAACCCATTGGAGAAGGCAGGAAGTGAGGGGAACTGCTGCTATGTATTTTTTTTCTCACAACATAAAGGTAGATGTGTTTAATTAAATGGCAAGGAATTAGGATAGGGATATGGAGTACATTGTGGTCCCTTTTAGTGATCTATGTCACCATTTCAGCATACAGCCCGGGCCCTTTAGCGTGATTGTGTGAGCTTTCTTGTGCGCAATAACAGTATAGAATAGAATAGAATAGAATAGAATGCCTTTATTGTCACTATACAGTTGTACAATGAGATACAGAGCATCTCCTCCTCAGTGTAAACATGCTGGGGGGGGGGGGTACAGTTCTGCAGCGCTATGTACATATGGACAGTATTAACATAGGGAAAAACATATATATATATATATATATATATATATATATATATATATATATATATATAATGTACAATATACAAGCCGTAAGTAATATGTAATAAATAGTGTTATGTATATACAGTTGAGTTATTGCACATAGAATTGGTATAAATAGTGTATGTATTTGCACGTGTGTGTGGCCGTGTGTTTTTGAAATATAAATTAAGGAGGAAGCTAAAACCAAATAAAACCCCAGTAAGAACAAAGAATCCAGTGCTGGTGAACATGCCTGAGTGGCTGCTTTCAAGGACTGATTAAGGTTATAATAGTCATCTGGCTTGCCTCAAGCCTTCAGGCTGTGTGTTTTGGGGGGGGGGCTGGTAAGGAGTGAGGGGGTAAAGGGGGGGGGGGGTGGAGGGGTGGTCGGTGCTTCTACTCTCTTTGTTCTGCCCTGCTCCACTCATGCCTTCTCTTTGTCTCCACCCACTAAAGGACCTTTATCTCTATTGCAGTCTCGCGCCAAAAAGGGAGGTGGAGCTGCATGTTGCTTCTTCTTCTGCTTCTTCTTTAGCCTTCTTCCTTTCTGTTTGTCTTTTACGGTGTATCTGATTTTGCAGGATAAATGAAGGTACAGAGTCCAGTCAGTGCAATCCCAGACTCCCTCTTTATTCCTATTTATAGTGTTTCTGTGTCCTTGTTAACATTTCCCGCCACTACAGGGTGCATCAGGCGGGGAGTGGTTTAACAGCCGGTATGAAGAAAGGCTGGCTCTTGTGAGCCTCAGGCCAAATGCTGGCGTTATTCAAATCAACTTGGTGGGTGCGGCCCAACTGTCTCCGTGTCCTGTTAACCCCCTAAGAGTTTCAGGCTATAACACAAAGGCGAATATAATTGTAGGCTCAGGGATTTGCTTCTTAAATGGCAAAAACATCAGTGATGTTGTGCAGATAGCACAACTGCAATTTTTACACAATTACAACTAATAGGAAAGATGCTGATATAGTTTTGTTAACATATACCCTTTTATTGCTCCTGATACTCATGCACGCTGCCGTATGCAAAGCTTTATTGTCACATTTTACTGGGTTTTCTTTTATCTAACATTTGGTCTTATATTTGGGGTTATTTTTCTTTTATTATTTGTTAGAAAATAATAATAGCAGCAAGGACTGAAAAGTTTAAATGTTTTAAGACAGCAGTGTACTACAGTTTAACAACTTCCTCTCTCACACTTGCAAAGTTTCTATTTCACGTCCTCTGTTTACAGCCCCGTAAAAGATGGAGCTGTGAAGTAGTCAGAACATGCAGAGAGTCACAACCAAGCCTCTACTACACTCTAGTGGATGTAAGTGTCACATGCAAAAAAAAAGAAAAAGAAAAAAAGAGTGATGCTGCTGACTCCTCTGCACTTATTTGTCTTTTCCAAATCAGTTCTAGTGCTGAGCCAGGGGCACAGGCCTCCCACAGCTTTGTGACATGGTGTGTTATCCTGCTGGAAGCAACCATCAAAAGACGTGCACTTTGGTCATACGATCAGCAAGCTGTGGCATGTTTAAACAACACTTAATTGGTACTAAAGGCCCTGCAGTGTGCACCAGACTGAACTGTTGATACAGTGCAGAATGGATCCATACTCACTCATGCTGTTTGACTTACTGTTGCCTTCCTTCCTAGCTTTTGTGGCCTTTCCCCTCCAGCCTCTTGTATTGACAAGACATTTTCATGTTTTCATTTTCTTTGTTGTCTGTAAACTTTAAAGATGGCTGTGGAAAAATCCCAGTAGAGAAGCAGTTTCTGAGATACTCAGACCAGCCAGCAAACGTGTCACACTCAAAGTCTTCCCCTGAGCTGATGCTCATTCTGAGAATGTCGTCTTGTTCATGTCTACATGTCTAAATGGATTAAATTGCTGCCATGAGGTTCACCTGTTTTGCCTGTATTGTGTTGTGCTGACATGCAGCTGAACAGGTGTACCTAACAAAGTGAACATTACTGGTGGAAATGTGTGAGACCACTTCTAGATTAGACATCATCATTTGGAGCAGAAAAGAGGCATTAACACCTCAAAAAGGCATACCAGTGTGAACTACAAATTTATGCCAGAATCCACAGGTCTGTGATTTCCTCCTCACTGTTTGAACAAATAGGTTGTAAATAATTTCAAGCTGATGCAAAACATACTTTCCTTCCTGCCTGCCTGAAAATTTGCATAAATGTACATTGTTAATAATACAACAAATCTGTGTATTAATAATTAATCAAAGCTGCTGTATGAAACTAAAAATGCAAAGCTAAACTTCAGAAAAAAACAAACAAATACAATAATAGAAATTATGAACTGAATCAACAGTGTCAGATTTGTATTTCTTACATCTCCTCATTTTGAACACTTACTTCTTCACTTGCTCTCTAACATATCTACTGACAGTGCAAATATCTAAATGAACACATATTTATCTGATGCTACACACACACACACACACACACACACACACACACACACACACACACACTGAGCCAAAAAAATCCATTAGTTGTCTTCAATCCATAATAGTAATCCAGAGAATCAACAAAAGCTCTTTGTGTCTGGTACGTGGAGGAGCGTGTGTGGTCACAGCTACACATATATTATCCCGTCGGGGAGCATAATCATGTGAGCTGCTGTATTGGGAAGATAAGTGTAATCAACCCTGATCTGCAGCTTTATGCAATTTGGTTGTCAGTTCCTGTAAAATATAACACACATTTAACCCAGACAGACACACACACACACGTTTAAGATTTGTATGTGTATGTGGTTAAAATATGTGCATGTGGTTTTTTTTAAGTCAACAGTCAGTCTTTGTTGCCTTTGTATATTGCTCGTAGATATTTAAAAATGACAGCCATGATGCATGTTGTATCCAATAGGAGTCTGATAGGATGCGGGTCTGTTTTACTCCTTGCATGGGCGTCTGCTCAGTATCGTTTTCCCAGAAACATCTTTAGCTGCTGAATTGCCTGTTTGCTGTGATGAAAGCCCAGCTAACACTATTAATAATGCATTCATGTTCTTCAAAGCACGACATGCACTTTCATCTTTGTTTCCTGCATCACCTGCCTGTTCCTCTGACTGATGTCAGTGTTTTGTTGGGAGGCGGGCTGCACTGCCTCTTGTGTCCACACAGCCAATCAGCTCTAGATGTTGTGCTGGAGTCCCAGCCTGTCTGACTCTGTGGCCGTTGCTTGGAAACTGCGACCATGGCTTTGTAATTCAATCCAAGGAAACATCCTCAAGGGATTAAATGGGAAGGAGGCAAGGAGGCATTATTTGTAAAAGCATGGGGGAGAGTAAATGACCCAGGATGGACTCGATTTCTCACACTGCTGAACAGGAGCAGGAAATGTTAGTGGTGAGTGGAAAGCACATGGGATGCAATGTGCATAATTACTCTTGCAGTTAAATCTAATATAATAATAAAATGCACTAATAATAATAACAACAATAATTATTATTATAATCACAGCCCTAATCATAGCTGTAATGTTGTACTCTGTGTTATGTCAGATCTCTACATCTCTAGGCAAGGAGGGCTATATTTCAAGCATTGTGACACATCCCTCCTCTGACACACCAGCGTGCTCTGTCCAATAGGCAGCAACAAGCAGTTGCCACACACTTTCTCACGTGCTGTAGTACTGCTCCAGGAAGTTAGACACTGAAAGGGTTAACAAAGAGGAGGAGGATGCAAAATGGTTTGAAGTCAGTAATGTGTGTGTGAGAGAGGAAAGAGAAGCAAGGAAGAGCTGAGGAAGGAATGTCCTAACACGCGTGATGCTAGAGACAAAAAGGGAAGTGCTTGCAGCTCGAATTCAGCCCTTTTCCTGAATCTCTCTCCATCCTCGTCCTGCAACCTCTCCCTGCTGCTCCGGCCTTATTAGAGCTACATTATAGCTAAGTGGCTCTGCAGCTGCAGCAATCAGGCTGATCTCATCTCTTGAGTGCAGCAAGACTGAATTCAAATTCTAAATGTGTGAGAGTGAGTGAGGACTTTGTTGGGAACTCCTGCCAGAGAGAGAGAAAGGGACTAATAAAGTGAGCCATCGAGGGGAAACGCTAGGGCTCAGTGTGGTCCTGGAGGAGAGTGGCGAACCACAGAGGTAAGATGAGTCTAAACAACGGCCAAAGTCTGAATGTCGGCGGACAAGATTTCACCAAGAATGGAGGCAACAGCAGCCGAGCCCCTTGGGAAGACGCGAGGACAGTTTTGAGGCCCTCGACCCCCACCAGGAAACCTAAATCAGTGAGTATCTATACAGCCTTTTATTTACAGTATCCATTTACACTTACAGAACGGGTACTATTAATTATACAACGCAAAAGGAGATTCTCCTTGCACATAATTCAAGTTAAAATTAAAGCGTGACAATTGTACTCTTATTTATCAGCCAAGGCAGATTCATGTTCACTATTCTTGCCTGTAGTGTCAAAGAGTTATGTCATCTTATGGATGACAAATGACAGAGTGCAGACACACAGAGCCACTCAACATTCTCAAAACCAGGGGGAGGGTTGAAACAGGTCTGCAATGCATCATTTATAGCTTTGGGTTAACTGAAAATAAAAGCACATAACAATGTAGTTCAGTGAAACAGGATAGTATAGGAGGCATGGCGTGGCTGTATTGTGTTGCCTGGAGACTGAGCGAGGTACAGATGGGTCTTGTTTCGGGTCAGTAAAGTGACCTCATTTGGACTTTTTTTCTGGAGGGGAAGAATCGAAATTTCACCCTGCCAGGTCGAAGTCATCAACGGTGATGACCTCAGCCTTAGCGCTAACCCTAATCTTTGCAATCATAATATACAGTTCTGTCTGTGAAGGTTCTCAGTCATCCAGGTCATCGTAGTCAAAGGAGCTTGCAAAGAAAAGCGTCTGGACTTCTTTAAGTTACTTGAAGACTCTGGCTGATTGGGACCCACACCCAGTTTCACACCTTGGCTCAGGCGATTAGAGGATCATCAGGGGGTGCTTTTGTCCCTCTGTGGGGGGATACTCCCACAGGGTTTATATCTGGGACTCTCCACCATTTGACCTTAGAACTGAAGAAGCTTCTCGGATGAGAGGTGAAACGTCTTCAAGCAACTTAAAGAAGTCCAGACGCTTTTCTTTGCAAGCTCCTTTGAATATACAGTTCTGTTTTTTTTGCTTTCTTCCAAAACATAGATGAAGATTCAGAACTTACAGGGTTAAAAACTGAAACACCTAAAACTTAAAGCGCATTAAGAACACAAAGAATTGTCTAACCTGGGAATCTGACAGAAATATGTCCTGATTTGATTAATACTTTTTAAGTAGTCTGAATATTTTTCATCCTGTGGATTTCTTCGTGCTGTCAATTAAATAAAAGGGTGTGACAGCATATTTCTAAGTTTAGTGGACTCATAAACACCAAAGTATTTACACAAAAGGAAACCTTTCAGATTATGCAAGCAATTTAAACGCCTCAGCCTTTAAAGAGTTAACAGGTGTCAGCCCTTCTGGTGTTTGGACCTACACTATCAGGCTCTGAGGAAAGTATGTTATATCATGCTGTCACTTCTATTCTGTCACATCAGCTCACTCAGTTTATCTACTGTTGCATGCCAGGCAAGGTCAATAACATAAAGGTTTCATCAGGATCTTGTGCATGTTCTTATAAAATTATAATGTCCCTTGTGCCTACGTTCAAGAAAAAAAATACAGCTCTCTACCCAACTGGGTAACAATCTCAGCTCCTCTCATTCAGAATGCTCCTTTCATTCACGCTCCAGCCAAAGCCTGAAAATGCCATCACCATCGCCGTGTCATCTCGAGTCCTCTTCAACATGGAGAAGGAGCAGCAGATCTATGAACAGCAAGGCATGGAAGAGTACATCAAGTACCAAGTGGAGCACGAAACGGAGCCGTTCAGCCCCGGACCTGCTTTCTCCTTTGTCAAGGTCAGAGACTGGGAAGGCAAAGAGCTGGAGAAACAAGCACACACACACATGCACACTAACGCAGAGAGAGATTCACTGTTGTCAGTGTTAGGTCGTGTCTCCGGAGGCGGTGGATGAATACAAACCACAACCACAAACCCACTCAAACACATTCACACGTTTCCATCCCACTGCGGGGATACAGAATTACCCTGTTTGTATAACTGAAACCTGTCTGCTCGTGTTCCCAGGCTCTGGAGGCTGTGAACGCTAAACTGAGGGAGCTTTACCCAGAGAGCGAGGAGCTCTTTGATGTTGTGCTCATGACCAACAACCACGCAAATGTGGGCCTAAGACTCATCAATACCATTAATCACCACCGTGAGTTCCAGGGGCATCTGGGTGACATGTCCTTTTATCTGTTCTCCTCAGCAGTTGTCTTTTTAATTAGACCTTTAAAGGCGCAACATGTAGAATTTATATGTTGTTATGGCATTTTTTAAATTATTTGGTTACATAACCTTTCATTATACATAAAAAGTATTGGTCCACACCTTTTAATCTTTTAATTCAGGTGTTTTCAGTCCCATTGCCACAGGTGTTGTAAAATCAAGCACATAGCCACGCAGCCTGCCTTTACATTTGTGAAAGAATGGGTTGTTTTAAAGAGCTCAGTGAACTCGTGCGTGGTGCTGTAAGAGGATGCCACCATTGCAAGAAATCAGTTGATGAAATTTCTTAACTTTTAGATATTCCACCATCAACTGGAAATGGTATTATTACAAACCAGATGTTTTCAGGAACTGAGACACAAAGTAGCAGACCATGAAAAGCTACACAAGTGGATTCGCTGAGTGTTGAGGGGTATAACTGTGTAAAAGTCACCAGTTCTCTGCTGATTCTGCCAGAATTAAAACCTCCTCTGTCATTTTCAGCTTCATGCCATAAGCAGCTCCTGTACATGTATTCTAGTAGTCTTGTCCATATGTTGTACCTACAGAAAAAGACAAAAAAATAAAAAAAATAAAATAAGAATATGGTATTAATAGATAAAATTCATTAGAAAGTATTCCATTACGTTGTTTCCCCTAAAAAAAAAATCTAAAAAAAGTCAAAATGAGTGTCAATTTATTAATTTTTAATCAAACATTTCATATTTTCAAGGTAAATGAGCAATTTAAAAACTCACTGTAATATCTTAAGAAAGTGGTGTAAATAAAGTAGAAATATGATTGTTGATAATTTCTACAGAGCAGTCATGAAAAAGCAAGCACAAACAGTTGATCAGCATTTTGGGAAAGATTAAGGTTTGCTTTTATGTAGATACAACATTTAATATACATCTGAAGCTCACAGGATTCAAACAATAGATAATACAGAAGAGCTGGACAGAGCCACCATAATATTACCTATTGGCATGTGTTTTGAAACCCTTACTAAAGTGTTACCTGTATCTAGTAGCTTGACCATATTTGGATGTGGGTAGAATGCTAATGAGCTTGTTAACTTAGCATTCTTAGCTTAGACAACATGTACTGTTTGAGGGCCATGCACAGATGCAGACTAATAAAATAACCGCTACAAACAATCAACATAGCGACCATCATATCACTTCCTGGTTTGTGATGCATCATTATAAAGCCTCAACTGGATCAATGCAGGGCGCAGATCTGACTGTGAAACTGCACACTTGCTGGCTAAAGAGTTGTGACTGACATTTCATTAGCTAATGATTTTGAGCATACCCTGGATAATCCTTCTTTCTGAAACACAGATTTAGCAAAAAAATAACAAAAACTGACTTTTTATTTTATTCCACATGATTGTAACAAGTAACTGGAGCCACTGAGCCCTTAACAAATACACCCTTAAAATACATTTGAGAATTTTATGCCTAGCTCTTTATAAAAACTGAACTTTGAACTTTGGTATTGACTCATATTCTTCTCCAGCTGCTCTCCACAGCTGGCCGCCTCTGTTCCCACACTGTCAGTTATTTTATGACCCAAGTCCTTCCCAGGTCACACAGGCACACAAGTGTGCTCACAGACTCTCCTCAAGGCATTGCAGTATCCTCTGTTGACTAAATAAAAGGAAAAAGGACGGATAGAAAGAAAGAGAAGAGGAAAAGAACTGACTGTAATCTAAGAATCTCTTGTAATGTGAGGCTTCACTATTTAACCGAAGCCCCTTTTGTTTATTTCTTGGTTGAAGCGTGTCAATAGACTTCCACTCGGCTCAGTTTAAGGAGTCACTCGAGCCACACTGGATGAATAGAGACTAACAGTGGTTATAGTGGGATGTTTCTCATGATCCCAGTAACATAGTATGACCCCAATAATAAGTGGTGAGAGTTTGGGTCCTGGCTCTTTAGCACCCCATTACCATACTCACTTAAGAAAATCACAAAATCATGGCACTTTCCTTCTTTTCCCGGCTCTGCCTCCTCTGGATATTTTCTGCAACTAAATGTTAAGTAAAAGTGACCATTTTAATCATGTCCAGCTCCATTATTAAATTATTGGTTTTCATTAAAGTAGCATTGTTTGTATAATTAATGGAAACCCCTCACTTCTGCCCGCTTTAACAAATAGTCCAGGTTCCTGTGAAGTTGAATTCATAGCATTGTATTGGTGTCTGTTTGCATAGGTATTTGGTTATGCAGAGTTAAGGATTAAATATGCAACCTGCGCTACATCCATGCAATCCTTCAGAAGCTGACAACTAGTAAACCCACAAGGGTTACACTGTGCATCGATAGATTGTTGACTGATTAAAAGTTCAGTTGAACAGCCCGGTGGAGTTCACCATGATGGGAAAGAAGCAAGAAAAAATTACGAATAATAAAAAAGTAGCATAATAATCATAAACACTGACTACAGTGGGTAGTTTGATTGTTTTGCTAGTGTCCTGCAAAATGTCTTTTTGAAACACAATTATCTCCCCCTGGTGGCTTTTAAAAATAATGCAACTTTAAGGGACACACCTCTGGATATATTCCAGAGGAAGTACACACATATGTGTGTGTGTGTGTGTGTGTGTGTGTGTGTGCGTGTCCGTGTGTGAATTTATCATCTGTGATCAGTGTTACTGACTGCCTCCTTAGCTTTTGATTTCTCCTTTCTGCAGAGCTGTTTATTGAGCGCTTCTGTATGACTGGAGGAAACAGTCCCATAGGATACTTGAAGGCCTATCACACTAATCTTTACCTGTCTGCTGACCCTGTCAAGGTTCGTGAAGCTCTGGCAGAAGGTGAGTACACAGCCTGCTTCTATTACTGACTCCTAAACAAAGTCCCTTAAAAAATGAAAAAAAGTAAGTGCCAGTCTCTGTGGTGTGATAACACAGGTCTGCAAAACACAGAAAAAAAGATTCAGCTGCATGGGATATTTTTGGTAAATTTGATGTTTTTTAGAGTTTTGAATCCATTTCCCTTCATCACATACAGTTTTTTCTTTTTTACAAAAACACAATTTTTCTGAAATTCCTTATTTTTCCCTATGAACAAAATAAACCTGTTGGGACACCAGTGTGCATGCATGAACCATGTATGCAGCCTGTTACAGTTAATATTCTCATGTCTGTAATATTTCTTGTCAATATTCTTGATATTTATAATTGTCTCACTCTCAGAACGGTTAAATTAATATAAGAAATCATTATTGGATATGTTTTTTTTTACTCAAGTATAGGATACCAGATTTCAGTTAAAAAGGGGAAATTTTCACTTAAATACACTAAAAACGTGAGTTTTGCAAGAAAAACCTGACAAGATGGAATTTAAATAATATTTTTCCCGGTTTCAATTGGTAAAAATCCATAAGAAACAGTAAAAAAAAAAAAGAAATCCTATGTAGTTTTTTGGTTGCAGACCTGTATAATCAGTGTCCATGTATACAGCTAATTTTCAAAGATAACCGCTGTCAAATATGTGACCCAGGTATAGCAGCAGCCATCATGTTTACTCCGGAGAAGATGAAGGAAGTGTCGGACACTCAGCTCCGTGTTGCCTTTGATGGAGATGCCGTCCTCTTCTCAGATGAGTCTGAGCGGATTTGCAAGGCCCATGGACTGGACAAGTTCTTTGAGCACGAGAAGGCACATGAAAACAAGCCTCTAGACCATGTACAGTATACACAGCGAGACATTTTTCCATTGGAGAATGATAGGAAGGGACACCAAAAGTCAAATAACACTCTTATTTCTTATAGAATTACACCTACCTACAACAGCCACCCAAATTCCCAAAAAGTTGGAAAGCTGTGTAAAATGTAAATGAAAATCAAAATCTCCACATTGTTTCACCACTGAAAACATGCAATTTTTAAAGTGAGACATTTTACTTTTATGGAAAACAGCTTATTTTGAGTTAGATGGCAGTAACTTGTCTAAAAAAAGTTGTGAAGATGGCAAGAAAAGTCTAGAAAAGTGCGCAATGGACAAGGCTGAAAATCATTACAGGATATGAATAATCCTTAGGCAAGTGGCACTGCATTAAAAACAGACATGATTCTGTCATGAAAATCATTGCATGGGGTCAGGAATGCTTCCAGAAATCGCTGTCTGTGAACACAGCTCACCGTGTCATCCACAGAAAGCACACAAAGACGAAGCCATATGTGAACAGTGATCTCTAAACACCACTGTTCTGTGTACCGTGCATCATGAAATGAAAAACATGACAAGAATCTTACATCCAACAAGAATTGGACACCATTCCTCTTCCAAAAGCCCAGCGGCTGTTCTCCTCAGTTCTCAGATGTTTACAGATCGTTATTGAAAGAAGAAAGGATTTTGCGCAGTTGGGCCTGTCCCAGCTTGGATTTTTGTTTCTCAGTTTAAACATCTAATACAAAATATGGTTTTCAGAGATTTGCAAATCGTTGGATGTTCCTTCTTTTTGCTTACATTTTACACAGTGTAAAATTAAATCCGCTTGTAAAATCTACACATTGAGCTCAGTTGGCCTGAATTCAGTTGTAGTGTGTCTAACATGTAGTGAGTCACGTATACGTGCAGAAAGATTAACATTCATGAATCTGTTCTTCTTTCTGCAGGGGCCACTGAAGGGCTTCCTGGAGGTTTTAGGAAAGCTCCAGAAAAAGTTTTACGGCAAAGGTCAGCGGATGGACTGCCCCATCCGGACCTACCTCGTGACAGCTCGGAGTGCAGCCAGTTCTGGTACCAGAGCCCTAAAAACACTGCGCTCCTGGGGTCTGGAGATCGATGAAGCTCTCTTTCTTGCCGGCGCGCCCAAAGGCCCAATGCTGGAGAAGATCAGGCCACATATCTTCTTCGATGACCAAATGTTTCACGTGGAGGGGGCAGCAGAAATGGGAACAGTGGCATGCCACGTGCCATATGGGATCGCTCAGAGAGTAGTAAAAAAGGGAACAAAGGACAAAGAGACTCCTAATGCATCCAAATAGCTGAGGTATCACTGTGCAGGAGCACAGCATACAGGGGCATTTACCTTCGGCTTTCATGATTTTACTACTGGAAGAAGTACGCTGTCCTGGATTAACAGTGCAGTTAGTTAATGCAATATCATAGAATTAAAAATATATATGTTAATATTTATCAAAACATTTATTTTTCGCTAACACGTGATTATTGTTATCAGTAAATAAAAAAATTACAGGTTGTATCAAATGGCTTTATTAATTAATCTTATTGATTTATATTAAGATATCAAACAGACATGTTTGATATGTTTATCAAACATGTTCATCAAACAGGGGGCTGCATCAGGGGCATGGGCAAATGTTTATGTTGCCAGGATATAAAAAAATCTTAACTATATAACAGGGATTGCTGTTGAAAATGCTGTTAACATTTTTTTTTAATAAAACATAATAAAACACAGAATTTATTGACAGAATAAAGAATGAACTTTCCACAAAGGGATTCTAGTCAACATGAATTCATCATCAGCTCATTCTGTTCTACTAAATCTGAATAAATGATTCAGGCACCATTATTACAAGTCATTAGTTATAAAACCCTTAATCATGAAGATTTCCTATTATAACCTGGTGCTTAAAGTGGTATTTTAATTTAACATTTATTCTTGGTGATTCATTTTCTCTACCAAACAGATATTTATTTTCTTTACTGCTATATGTTTAACTGACATATCTTATAAAAGAGAAAAAGCTATTTCAAAGTATTAGAAATACTCATACAACTCTAAAGGATAAATTTAATAGAATCTATAATTATCTCTAAATAATAATATTTAGACTCCAGGATACTAAAGAAACATGAAGGATACATTTTTGTTTTGTGGATTTGTGTGATTCATTCACTTTAATTCTTGTCTTCATCTCTGAGTTTTGCAAGCTGGTGCCTTCTGTTGTCTTCTGTTGTTTTATGATGTATGCGTTTATGTGACTTTTGCATGTTGGTGGTATATATGCTGTATATGTAGGTTATATGAATGTACCTTAAGATTTAATATTTTTGAAAATATGTACGTTACTTTTTATTTATTTAATGTTTCTCCTTGTTCACGATGACAGAGAGAAGTCTAAATATATTCAGCATTTACTAATAGTTACCATGTGCAGTTTTAATTTCTACTGCTTCCTCCTGAAGTGCCGAAAGTTCAGTGTCCCAAATTTTTATTTGTCTGCCTGTCTGTCTTTTTTGTCATGAAGTTGTGTTGATGCTGTTGCACTTTATCATTCTGTGAATGAATGTAAAGAAAGTTGGTGTTGAATGAGACCAATGTTGCTGTCCGATGTGAAATCTGGTTAAGAGTGGGACAAATGTGTAGCTGTTTTTCTGTTTCAAAATGGAACTAAAAACCCTGGAAAAATAATCGGATCACTGTTTTCCTGTCTTTTACCATTGTTGGGCTGTGAAGGTCCAAAATTGTACTTATGATTTGGGGTTAAAGTAAGATTTTACACGTGGGAAAAGAGAATAGAAATAGAATAGAGAATAGAAAAGAAGAAATAGAAAGAAATAAGAAATAAATGCACTTTAGAACAACACGCAGCAACACTACACATGAGCGGGAGGAGGGAGGTATGGGGTCTTCACACACCCCCGCCATCGGGGCGGGGGGCTGGGAGGAGATGTTGGCTGTCCGATTGGCCTCCCTGCTGCTGCAGAGCCTGGGACGGTCTGCTTGCCTCCACCCCGGGGGGAAGGGTAACATCTCTTGGGTCTGGGTTCTGTTTCCCCCTCTGGGGGCCAGGGTACCTGGACCCGAGGTATAGAGTATGTTTGGGGAGTGTGATTGTGTGTACATGTCCATTTATGTCAATCCTTACGTTGGGTGAGTGCTGAGTGTTTGTATATGTGTGCATGAGGGTGGGAATGCATGTTTGTGTCTGTGTGTGCCTGTTTGTCTGTGTCTATATGTCAGGTCGGGTCTTAGACTCCACCTCTCTGGGAACTCCCAGGCCCTCCAAGGCCTATCTCCCCTCACCACACTCCCTGCCAGTGACTGATGCCCTCAGGGGTCGGGGCGTGGTGGTTCTTGGTGTCCGGGGCTGGGCACTCAGGTATGTACCAGCTCGCTCCCGGTGGCTACCTGGCGGGGCCTGGCGACTGTTGCTCGGTCAGGCCTCCTCTGGGGTGTGGGGGGCCCTCGGGCCTCCGGGCCTGCGGCTCGGTTCACTCTGGCACAGCTGGCTGCCGGCAGAGCCGGCAGGCACGCCGGTGCAGCCCCCTCTAAAGGAAAGCTAAGGCTGCCTATAGGAGGAGGATTGAAGATCACTTTGCTGACAACGACCCCAGAAAAATGTGGCAGGGGATCAATCACATTACCAACTACAGAAGCAATAACCAGGCAACGTCTAGGACTGATGCCTCACTGGCTGAGGATCTAAACCGTTTCTTCGCCCGCTTTGAGACGACCAAGCCCTCAGCTGCCACACCACTTCCACCCGCCCCCAGCACTGGCACACTAACACTTAGGAGCACCAAGTGAGGTGTGTTCTAAGGTCAGTGAATCCCAGGAAGGCGGCAGGTCCTGATGGAATACATGGAAAGGTTCTCAGAGCATGTGCTGACGATCTGACCGGAGTCTTCACTAAAATCTTCAACCTTTCCTTGTCATCAAACACCGTCCCACCCTGCCTCAAAACCTCCACCATCATCCCCATCGCCAAGAAGACAGCTGTGGCCAGCCCAAATGACTACAGGCCTGTTGCACTTACGCCTGTAGTGATGAAGTGCTTTGAGAGACTGGTCTGTCAGCACATCAGGGCCGGTCTGCCTCCCACTCTGGACCCCCACCAATTTGCCTACAGGACAAATCGTTCCACCGAGGACGCTATCACCATAGCGCTCCACACTGCGCTGAGTCACCTGGAGCACCGAGGAAGCTATGTGAGAATGCTCTTTCTGGACTTCAGCTCAGCATTCAATCATATCATCCCGGAGATCCTGGTCCAGAAACTGTCTCACCTGGGACTCTCCACCCCCATCTGCCTCTGGATCAAGGACTTCCTGACAAATAGACCACAGTCTGTCAGACTCGGCCCCCACCGGTCCAGCACCATCACACTCAGCACCGGGTCTCCCAAGGATGTTTTGAGTCCCTCCTGTTTACGCTCTACACATCCAACTGCTCCCTACCATCTCTCAAACACCATCATAAAGTTCGCGGATGACACCACAGTGGTTGGACTCATCTCAAGGGGGGATGAGTCGGACTACAGAGATGAGGTCAACAGACTGACTGAGTGGTGTTCAGTTAACAACCTCCAACTGAACACCACGAAAACTAAAGAACTTATCTTGGACTTCAGGAAGGGCAGAGCAGACCCGGCCCCACTTTACATGTGGAGAGGGTACACTCCATGAGGTTTCTGGGCGTGCAGATATCTGATGACCTCTCCTGGACTGCAAATACTACAGCGGTGGTTAAAAAGGCCCAGCAGCGTCTCCACTTTCTGAGAGTGCTCAGGAGGAACACCTGGAGGAGAGCTGCTGGTGACATTTACAGAGCACCATAGAGAGCATCCTAACGTACGGCATAACAACATGGTAGCAGGTCTCAGCTGCAGACAGGAAAGTACTGCAGAGGGTCATCAACACAGCCCAGAAGATCACTGGCTGCTCTCTGCCCAGCCTGGAGGTCACTGCAAACTCTCGGTACTCAGCAGAGCTGGCAATATCATCAAGGACACTCTCACCCAGCAACCAACTGTTTGAACTATTACCGCAGCCGACGGTACAGTCACATAAAACAGGACAAACAGATTCAGGGATAGCTTCTTTCCCAGAGCTATCACCGTAGTAAATAAGCACAAAAACAATTGAACCTATTCCATACCGTCACTGTCATTATATTATGCTGCTATCCTGTATATATTGTACATACTATTGTTTGAGTACTTACGATTGTTTTTTTGTACTTTTTATATTTTACATTTATATTATTATGAAACTTGCACCAAGGGAGTGGCACTCCAATTTCGTTGTACTCTGTACAATGACAATAAAGGCTATTCTATTCTATTCTATTCTCTAGCTTCTGTTCGATGGCTACTGGGTGACGCCTCGTCTGGGGATCCTCAGCCCTTCCCATGAGGGTGGCACGGATGCCCCTCCGGTGTCCTCCTTGGGCTCTGCACTCTGGGGCCTCTGGATGTCTGGGGCCTGGATCTGCTCCATGCTGCTTCATGCCCTGGGGGACGGGCTATGGTCCCTACATCCTCTTGCAGACCATTATATGTGGAAACCATTTGAATACAAGCACGCTGATCCACACAGGTGTGCACATGGGTGTTCACTGTTCGTAGACTTAAATTACACCTTTCTTGGCTGCTACTTCAAAGCACATTGTGCGCTGTCTGTCCTGCTGCTGCACAACACAATGAATATTTAGTATTACTGCTGTTTACACTTAGCTAGATTAATGCGATGGTGTTGTTTAGATGTTTTTGGTTTTTTTTTGCTTGTTTTCTCTTCTTTTTCTCTCAACAGCTGATCCAGGAGATTCTCCCCCCTCCCCCTTTCTACGTCCTCCCTCGTTTTTCTTTTCTTCCTCTTTCTTCTCCCTTTCCTATCCCTCACTCATGTCTGTCCGTCTGTAAATCTGAAATAAAATATAATAAACAATAAAAACAAAGATCGATCAAATGGACCAATACGGCAATGCCACGATGATCCATTTGGCAAAGTAAATCCATTGGGTATCCTGGTCTTCAGACAACAATTCTGACGGCTAATGAACCAAATGGGACAGGCAAAAAAAAACGAAAAAAAAGAAAAGAAATAAAGATAAAATTCAGATCCAAATCTTGTGTAAAAACCCTTTCACATTGAGTTCATGACATTTGTCTTTTATTTGTTAGTTGTTTTTCTGACTCACCTGTTTTAATGTGGCTGTTGACCAAAACCATGTAATTTTGCAGGATGAATTTACTACTTTTATTTTTTCAACTCCAATTTGGCTTTCCCAATTTTCTCTGGTTGAATAAAAAGTTCGGACCAAGTAGATGGTTTGGCAACTAGTGTGCTCCACTAATAAGCTCCACTAAGATTTTCTTTGTATACAGCTGTGATGAGCTCACATGTGCTACTACAGCTGCTCCTCTAAGTTTACTGCTCTTTGTGGATTAGACAGCAGAATTATAGGATATAAGCAGATGTTACATGATGTAATGGATGATTTACAGTCTGTGCAATATCACTGATTTCTTCCAATGATACCAAATCAAATCAGGTGTTATTGACAATACTAAACATAATGTGTTGTAAAATCAAAACAAAAAGTAGTACTTAGTAACTTCATAATGAATACAAGACATAGACTATTTGTTCTTTAATTAAGAATTCATGCAATAAATAAAAAAATACTTTGAATATACTGTGACTTTGTAATGATACCTAGCCTATATAATCCAGTTTAAATGTTCTGCAACTTTGCCTGACAAAATCTAGGCCAATTGAATTGATGTGAGTTGATCTTAGGGACATACATATTATTCAAAGCTAAACTCATACAGCTAATTATTGTAGCATGTATTTATTTCATTACTTATTTCATAATCATATTTATTCATGTAAATTTGAACAAATGGGATTCTGTAAATCCCTGTCCTTTTAACACAGACACAAAAACCTAAGCCTAGACATAACTCACTTTCCAAAATTCATTAACAGTGCTACATATCACCAACAGCTCCACCTTTTCTCTCTCGTACCTGGATCTGCCTGCAGCACCAAAGGACTGGCAAGCAACATGTGTCTCACCCTGGCAGCAAATTCCATCTCCTCCTCTTCATTTCACCTCATCATGAACTCTCATCATTGGGTGGCTGTGGCTCAAGGGGAGCAGGTCACAGTATATTGTTGAGCTGTTGAAACATGAATTTGAAATCTTGCCACTTAAGAACAACGTCAACAGGCCACCCCACTTTGACATATAAGTATACCAACAGTGGCAGAGTGAACTCTGACCTACCATGGAGAAAATAAATTAGAGGCTGTGAAGGTTGTCTGAGTCAGAGGCAGAAAAAAAATGTTGGTTAACAGCCTATTGATTTATTCCTTTTTTCACAACTGTGGTTGAGCCAACTAAAGAAAAATGAAACTAGAAAAGCATTACAAGGAAAAAAAACGGGGAATACACATCTGCAACTTCAAGACAATCCTGAACTAAACTGAACTAATTAAGAAACAGTTTTGCACTGGGTGGAACCCCCTTTAATGGGGGCCCTGACAATAGTCTGTTCACCATCATAACCTGGCCCACGCTAGCTCTGGAGAGGAGATGCAGCTCCTGATTATATAGTGAGAGGCTCCTCCCACTGTCTGAAACAACAATGAATATCAAATTAAGATAAACATAGGTTGTTT